TTAGATTTTCAGTACAAATCGGCAATTTCATACTTTAACCCCTATTAATATGGAGATTGAAGAACGATAGTAATAAAATCAGGTCATCTCTATCTGAAACTACATTAAACGCTTTGTTTCTTATGTACCCACCCTCTAGACGAAATGAAAATTATTTAAAAATTCTAACAATTAAATTATATCGCTGTTTTGTTCGCTCCAACACGAGAAAAGTAATACAAATTAATTTAAAACCGTACAAATAGAAGACAGACATTCCAAAATTTAAAAAGGAATTAAAAAGCTGCCAATACTATTTTGTTTTATTTTTTAAAGTCAAAGTTGGTCTCAAAGCTTATGAACACATGAGGCATACAAATTAAAACCAAAACATAATTATAATTTGAGATAAAATATCTTGATTAAAATATCTTGTTTTGACTGACTAAACGCCTAGTGTATAAGTATGAAAACCTACTTAGGAAAAAGTCTCGAAAGTGTCGTTTTGCCTTAGTGGATACAGTTATAAAACAGGCGTTTGGGGATTTTCTACACATTTTGTTTAATAATAACAAACAACACATACCTGATAGAGTTCACTGTTCTGACAGAGGTCACGGTGATGTTTCTCCAAATCAGAACTTATCTCGTCGAGGTTCGTTGTTGCTAGCGGGCCCTCATCTAAAATAATAAAAAAGGTTTAATGATTTTTTAAAACAATCTGACGGTTACCTGGCGGAAAAGTAAGGAAGAACAATCTATAATTACTCGGTATGTGCACAGTCTACAGCTGTTTGTCGACATCTACCACTGTAATTCATTCATTCTTAATGAGACATAAGTTGACAAGTCCCATATGCCTGTAATTTCACTAGCACCCTTACGCTCTCAGTAATGCTCACATTACTGCTTGACGGCAGAAATAAGTAAGGTGGCAGTACTTCTCTGGACGAGCTTTTCACCTACTGTTTTTTTTTTTTTTTTTTTTTTTTACTATTACTATTACTACTGTTACTATTTGTAGTGTACATAAGCGAGAAAAGTCCATAAAAATGGGAAAGATTATCGATCATTTAAAATATCTTAATAGAAGATTTCTTCTCTGCCGAGTGTGGAAATAATAACTTATGCCTAACTAACTAACCTGCCTCATATAGAGGCGAAACAGGTGCCGTTGTATATAAACACATATCTGGATAATTTTAAACCCTGCAAAATAGTATTTACCTATGTTGCATCCTGTCCAAGCATTCCAGTTCTTCTGAGGCGGAGACCAAGAGACCACACCCCCGGGCGTTGGACGAGCTTCTCTCACCAACTTGACTCGGTCCACTTGGTACAGCGTAACGCTTGGCGATTCGCCCTCTTTCTGCTCTGGACTTGCTGTGTCTACGTTTACCGGCTCAATTTCGAGGGCTGAGAAAACAAAGAAGTAAAATTAGTATCAGGGTCCATCACTAGTTTTTTTTTATTAATGTATTGAACTCACATGTTAAAAATAATCTGAAATTTATTTTTCAGTCGCAACAAATACCAGAGATATCAATTGGTTAAAGTCACTGGAAGCTATGTTCCTGTTTAACAAATAGATTTTTATATTTTTATTGAATTGATATTCAATTATTTTTTGTGAAATTACTCCACTAGTTTGTTATAATTATTAATACAAAGATCGAACACTCAGAAAACGTTCCTCCGATCCGGCCGGAGTCGAACCGACGTCTTCTAGCATACATATGCAGATCTTTGTTCTTGTTTTTTTAACGACTTTTTTGCCGTGGCGCCATCTGTGAGAAATCTAACTTTTGAAATGAAACTTTTAAATGAAACTTTGTCTTCACTTTTAATTACAGTAATAAATGTCCAATCTTATTATCGCCTGTATAGCCAATGATAAGCAAAGGGAAAATATGCACAAGCAGCAGCATACACTTTAGGCATTCACCTCTAAATCTAAACAGTATGCTGCCCTGCGTAAACAGATAGCATCCGGGATAAACGAGCGTGCAAAGCCCGACACGAAAGCTGCCCCGCGTAAATAGGAATACGTCCTAATGCCATGACGTACGTTAGTCTTTCTTACCCTGTTCAATGGTTTTTATGGTTACCACTATATTCAATTGATTTCTAATCACCTTGCAAGGTATCTGCTAGTTGACTCTCGAGCTCTGGACTGATTGCCACTGGGTAAGGTTTCATGATGCCTTCAGATGATCTGTAAAACAGTTTAAATAAATCTTCTGCAATACTTATTTTCGTCAGCTGATATTGAAATTGGGTCTAACGGACGATTTTTACACATAAAAGCATATTGTCTTTCCAGACTTTAAGAGCCTATGCCCACGGCGCATCTTATACGCGCCGACGACGTGCATCATCTGCGCGTATACGCGCTGCAGACGCGCTGCAGCCGCGCGTACGTATCGCGCATTTTGATAAGAAATAGTTTTCATTTTAGTTTTGTTTGTTAATTTCAGTTAGTTTCTGAAATTAAGCAACTACATGAATTCTAAGTATAAACTCTAGTGGAGTATATAAGCTTCTCGCTTGCAACGCGATGTTTGCGCGAGCGTTTGAATCGATTCATTAGAGCGCGTCTGCGGCGCGTGTACGCGCGTATAAAATACGTCATGTATATGGGTTCTAACTTGGGCTTTTTCAAGGCGAGAGGGAATGGGCATTATTTAAGTGTACTTGCTCTATCGTCACTTTCCATCAGGTGAGATGGAGTTCGAATAGGCACTTTTTTTTATATAAAAGAAAAAAAGACAGGGTCAAATTTTTTCAGAACTTTAAAATAGTCGTCGTACATGAAGATGACAACAAATTTAACATAAAGATAAATTTTTGCCATCCCCTGAATAATCCTGTTTATAAGATACGTGTTTGAGAAACTAAAGTATCGTTATAGTGTATAGTTTAAAGTAACAACCTCAGCGTACACGGCGCGCTTTTCATAGAAATATTAGCGCACACATGTGACATTGCTGTCAAATCTAAATGATATATTGTAAACGAACACAATGTCCAGCTTATCTTATACTTTACTGTATGATACTCTTTTTACTTTGTGACTCACCGGTCTTTCTTCAAAGTTCCACTGAAAGGTTCAATGACGCCAAGATGGTACAGTTGTCGCACTATAGACAGCGCACAAGACTTGCTGGCCGTTTGTTTGTTAGACGCAGTTTCTCGCCCCGTCACGTTGCGACCCAGTTGGCGTACGAAAAACGACATCTCGCAACAGAAGCTCCTGTGGATCAAATAGGAATTTAAAATCCAAAATAATTCGCCGCCCATTAATACCAGCGCAGGTTCAAGGTCACGATCCATAGCTACGCGAAGAGTATGGCGTCATCATAGGTATAGCTTGCGTGGGTCACTCGGTTTTGGATGATGGCTATGGTTGTAATATTTGATTAGGGTGTCACCAAACTTATTAACGCGGAATCGTCTTGATGCGATCGTGTTTAACCGCACAAGTGCATTAATCCGATTCGCCGTTGACGAGTCCGTTAGAGTGCCGTATCGCGCCAGTTGTTTCTGCTCCAGGATCAGCCGTCGTCGGCATACGTACGGACGCGATAGGAAATTCGCAGGAAGCAGATTCGTTGCCAACCTATGTCGAGCCGCGTGCGTACGAACCGATACGAATTGTACAAAATCTTTTTCGCTCTTAGGGCGCGTTCCCATTATGTCGCGACGACAGATAGTCGTGTAGTTTAAAGAGCCGTAGCTTGTATATTTAAGTGAAGTTATTCACATTATACGAATTTATTTACACGAATAATTGTCGTTCTCGACTTTTCTGACGTTACGACGACAGACTGTCGTGACAATGGGAAGAGCTAGGACGACAGTCGTCAGACGATAAATAAAACGTCACGGTAAAAATGTGACGACAGATAATCGCAGCTCCGAACGATTCTGTCGTGCAAACTACAAAGCGGCTGCAGTTAACCGATAAATTGACGTCGCGATCTATTGGGAACAGTTAGACACGACAATCGTTCAACGGTGAATTAAACGTGTACGACACAGTCACGACAGATAGTCGTGACATGGGAGCTAGACGCGACAGTCGTCCAACGATGAAAAAAACGTTACGACATAATGGGAACGCGCCCTAGAACGACAGCAGACTCGAATGTCGAATCACGTTCGTACGACCCTATGAGAAACGTACGTCTTTTTCGGTCTGACGGTCATGGACATAAAGCTATTTCTGACCGGCTTAATGCGATTCTGCGTTAATAAGTGTGGTGACTCCCTTATAGGCAACATCACAGCTACACCTTACACCATTATGATATCCTAACTACGACGACGTGTGTCAGTGACGTCATAGCAGTGGCGAGGCGTCCATATAACTCGATTCCCACCGGCTTGCCTAAAATTTTCCACGTATTACTAAAAATCCGAACAAAACCAGTAAAATGAAGTGAACTGGTATCTTGTGTGCAGTAAGTGTTGTATTTAAATGTCGCCAAGGCTCCTTTTTAACGGGATAAGAAGTTTTTGTTACGGTTTTTTTGCTTGGGCTTTGATATAGAAAATTGTCACGCCTCGCCACTGCGTCATAGGCAAAATTTCCATACTCGTGGAACGGACTTAATTGTAAATCTTTTTGTGTACCTAGTTGGTGTAAAGTGCAAACTAGATACAACCCTAAAATCCAAGTTCGGAAAAATCTCGCGCAACTTTGGGAATGTATAGTATCCAGTTCGTATTTTACACAACTGATATAAAGTTCATTATGCTATGTACAATTTCGTCACAAAAATCGTTTCCATTCTGTTTTACGGCCATGTCAACTGAGCCTATGGCGTATTCACAGGCATATCCTGCATCCGTTACTGTTAGACATCCTATTAGAAATCATATAGATACAGAATGTTGGCTCCATTTTCACATATTACGTAAAGGTATATGATTATAGGCAACATCACAACTGCTCCTTGTACCCGCACGATCTGCTAACTACAACGCCGTCGGTGACGTTATAGCATTGTCATTCTTATACCAATCAAAAGCAACACTCGACAAATAAATGCAGCACAGATGTATTAACATACAAATCTGAATAGCAATTTTCCTTTATCATTATAATCTGATTTTTGTTAAAAAGCCTCGTATTTGGTAGCGGTGCGAAGGGATATTAGTGGAATCTTTTCACTCTGTTGTGAACTCTAAGTACGTTATTTTTTTATCACAGACAGACCTTCCTTATAATTTGACAAAGCCAAAAAATACCGCCAACAGAGACCACAGCAAAGTGACGTAGCAGAGTAGAACCCCCCGCACGAACCCGCCGCACCACTATCTAACGCATATTAAGCCCACCGAAACCAAAAGAACAGCGACCAAGCAATGTCTAAGAGAAGAACGTTTGCGCAACCAATAGGATTTTGTTACTTTGATAAAAAAAGCGTCGATTGCATTTTCAGCTCTTTTCTATTCTGTATTGGTAGATAATGGTAAACAGATCGATGGGTTTTTAGAATATTGACCTATCTCAAAAACAGTAATTAATGATAGAGCTGGTTTAAAAAACTGAGGCATGTTCGAAGCCATGATTCGATCACGTGGTTCTTTTAACCAACGAGAAGCTCGATGTCTTAGGGTCGTATTCCAAAACTCTACTCGATACTCAAGTCCTGATTTGAGTATTGCATCATACTCAAGTCCTTGCCATTAGGGTCGTATTTTCAGTGCTTGAAATCATACTCAAGTCTGCTCAAATCCTGACTTGAGCATTGAGTACAGTTCTGGAATACGACCCTTAGACTTCTTGTGACTTTAAAAAGAATGTTTCAGTTTCTATCACTATTCTTGACAAGCAGCGAGATGTCAAAAAACGAAATGCTTGTTTAAAGAGATGTATTTTCTCTTCGCTTTAGTGGTTAATGGGCAAGAGCAATGTGTATTGACACATTACCAGGTAATCGTTGAAACTATTGACTGCCGCCATGTCATCAGTTTTTTTTTTCGAGGATCGGAGGAAGAATCTCTCCTAACTCGTCAACGAGTGTGACGTACAACCGTAGGAATACCCTTCGCGAATCACTTTGTTCATTTCCGCGTTATATCGGAAAACTATGCTGACTTTGATGTCGCAAAGAAGGATGGCGACATCCCGTGTATTTTGTGACCCGACGACGTGCATTAAGAAGACCTATCAATGCTTGTGATTCAAAGCATCAAAAAAGCTCATTGAGTACAGCCTGTGGAAGCTGGGGTTATAAAGTTGATATGGGTTATGTTTATAACATTGTCCTGTATTTTAGCTTCAGATGTTTGTTCGTAGTAGCACAAAACAATAAGTTTTCAGTTTGTTCCCAAAAATAACAAAGAACTTCCCGAATATTCCCAAATCTGCCAAAAACTGCCACATTTAATAAAACTTATCATGTTCTGCAGCAATGAAAATGAATAAAAATTGAATCTGCCCAAATGGCAGCAATCTGCCACAAATGGAAATTATTCAGCTGGCTTCAGAAGGTTAATCGCCCAAAATGTTCTCCTACTTGGAATACAGTTCTCTTCTACTTCAGCAAGACTACAATTTTTAAATATACAACTGGTAATGAACCAGCAACGTTACGATTGATCTGACGAGAGGCTAGGCGAAAGGCTATTATGAGTGCTTGCATGTAGGAATGCCGAAGGATCCCTTGCCATTCCGTTCCGCCAGTGGGCGCCGGGCCTAATGCATTGGTCTTTCGGCTGTTAACCCCATTATCTACCAAAGTAGCTCAAAGAGCTGTTTCAACAACCAATAGTATCATATTATTTTGAAAAAAAAAAACACCGTGGGTGCATCAAAATTACTAAATTCTATTGGTCACTCATCACTCCGCATTGGTCAATATCACGTTTTCTGATCCGAAATTTAATCATTTAATTTAAATAGAAATTCAAATTCAAATCTTTGTAGGGATTACAATACTTACTCATGTTCGATATAGGAAGTCTCAGGAGATTCAGGAGGTGCAATCAAGTGGTCATTTCAAATCGCTCACCTGCGTGGAGAACAACATCTAAGACAATTAATTACGTCTTACAGTCATCTATCTACTTTGTCTTTTTTTTAACTTGAACATGTTTGTCTTGAAACAAAACTTGTTTTTAAGGTCTCCTACTAAGTTCTATATAAGACTATGGCTTTATAGTCAATATATTGAAAACGGCGCGTTTTTATTCACATTTAATTTGCCTTTTTTCTGTTTTTATTGGGTTCTTGGAGCTTTTAAAATGTCATTGTTTTCTCTAGACCTCATACAAGATACATATAAAATAGAGACTCTGTGTTTCTTGTTTCGTATTAGTGGAAACTTAACACAATCTCGTCAGGAAAAAACATTCCATAAAGAAATCTGTATAATAGTTCCGAGAATGTGTTCGTGCCAGTAGCCAACTCGCGTGACGTCACTTCTGGGAGTACATTTTATAAAACTAGAGGAGCGTCTTGTTATTAACCTTGAACGCAAAGAAGAGGGGAGTTATAAGTACTATTTTGAATTGGGGGATTTTTTGTGCTTTTGTAAGCCTACAAGAGCTAAAATTAAAGCGGCTCTTGCTCTCACACTCTTAACATTTTGCGTCGGGGTAAGTTGCAAAGTAAGAATGTTGCAACTTACCCTACGCAATATGGCACTACAATGTTTAATCTAGACCTTATCAGCATTATATTAACACTCAAGACAAACAGTCCAGAAATCCGGTCAGATTATTGATAGATGACTGTTTAAATCCATTTTGTCTTAGACCCGTTCAGACACGGCGATTTGAAATGACCCGAAAGTATGTTCTAAGTTTATTATAGTCGTGAATTTTCAGACATTGTTCTTTGGGGTGACAGTTACAGTCGCGGCCAGTTGTCAATGTTTTCAATTGTCATCCCACGGAACAACGTCAAAATATACACGATTGCGTTTATCAAGAATATGGAATAAGGCTTAGGTATCTTTTTGAAGTAAACCGTGCAATTAATTCTGCATGTTTTGCTTCATAACGATAAAGTTTAAATTACAGTGCAGTTTTTTGTCATGATGTGCTTGGTACTTTGGTAGCATGACAAAAAACCACATTCCAGTCGTACAATTCCAGCACATTTCCATATTTGATAAATTTATCTAAGGTCTATTTTCTAACATTTAGAACGAATGGCACTACACTATAACATTCAAGCTTGGTTACTCGAGTTGTACGGAATACCATGATTGCATTTTCATATCATTTTCTCGTGTGATACTGCAATTCAAAATGAAGCTTAACTATTGATATACGAAGTTATTTTTAAAATACTAACAACATCACACGACTATATTAATGATATCATAAACAACAACTACTTTTGTTCCAGGACCTTTTACAAAACATAATAAATTTTCCAAAAATACACTTTAAATTTTTTGTAATTACTGTCCGACACTTTTTAGATCAAACGTGCAAGCGTCCTCCGCGACGATTCCCGCCCCAGTCTTGCACAGAGTTATTACCGTTTAGAGTTTATGATGTTAGCAATATTAGGGTTCCGTCACTCGCTCAAGGTTACGCGATAAGTGCCTACCGCTTCGTGTATCGCTGACAGTGCAAGCATATAATTTAAATTACATTACAATCCTTGTACAACCCCAGCATTCGGTACCGCACGACTGCACACGTGGGGAACGTTATTTTCACGCCTCTGAGCGCGTGCTTAGGTTCCTTTTTTCTTTTTTATATTTTCGATTTGCATGAGAGTGATGCATCTGTTACGTAGTAACTATTAAGAAATCTGTGGTAATATAGTCCTGCACGGTTGTTAGCATTTTACAAATAATCTTGTGTAAGGTTAAAGTGGAAAGTAATGTTTAACTGGATTTAAGGCGCCTTTAAATTTGACGCTAATAGAAGCTCACCAGCCGCGCTACTACTAATTTTCATACAATATTTGGAAGTGCAGTTGTAGCGCCACTTTTGCAGTCACAGTTAGGCTAAACTCACACCGGCGCAGAGTCGAAGCGTCGCGACGCGTAATGTTTTTCGCCTATAGCATATTCATCTCTATTTTCCCATTATTAAGATACTTTGTGGTATGCGTCGACGCGCATCGCCGCGCGTTACATTGTGACGGTGTGACCTTACACCGTCATCCCACCTTTTTGTATCGCCTCTCTCCATTCGTATCGTATCGTTTTTTCTTCTCCCTCATATTTAAATTTAAAATTGTTCCATTTTACCTCGCATTCTGATTTTGTTTCTTCCCATCGTCACTCTCTGCACGACCGCGGTAACGAACGTACCACTATTTATCTTTTTGAATCGTTTACTAGCTATATTTTTATACAGTTTACATTTTAAAGATTATAAGATATTTGTTTGAATTGCTAAATTTACTAAATAAGATGTTGGAGGCTGCGGGGCTGCGGAGGCTATTACTGCTATCCAGGCTACAGTATTACAATCCACCATCACAGCAGCACCTCCACAACTTGGGCGCAGTGAGACGTCTGACGCCGACCACATTGTGATCCGGGCGCACTAATGCGAGCGAGTCAGCTGGCGTTGTATTTGAAAAATAGGACGTGACGCGACGCTTCGACTCTGCGCCAGTGTGAGTTGAGCCTTAGTGAACTAAAAATTACTGAAGCGTTACAGACGTGCGACTGTCGCGCTACTGCAGCGCTTCTTAAAGCATCTAATTTTAAGGAGCCTTAAAAGTTTCCCAATAATAATTATATTTGCCAGTTTCCATATAACTCGAAGGACTCTGAATCATAGACTTTAGAAAATAGACCTGTAGTTTCGTTGGTCAGGGCTCAAAAGATAACAGCAGTCACCAGTTTGTCAAATAAGGTGAAAAACCAGTGGCTTATAAAAAAAGCGTTTCAAAATGTTCTATGTTGCAACGTAAACAAAATGTCTGTCTCTTATTGCTATAATATTACATAATATGGCAAAAAGTGATAGACATTGACTATACAATCTGTTTGTTTTAGTAACACAACACTTAAAAAGTTAGCAACATATAGAAAAACTTACGGTTTTCTAATTAAGGTTTAAATTCTGTGTTGTTGACCTTAAGGGCCTAATTGGTCAGAACAACACTGATAAGCAATGACTAACATACAAAGCATTGATTTGTAATAGAAGTCAAGCATGCCTGGACTGGCAAACTCCTTGACCACATAATCATTAACCTAATGGTTACATTAATGTTTGCTTGTAAATTTATAAAAAAAAAACATAAACAAACCGTGTATGATCCGGCCCAACAGCCTTATAAATGTAGTCCGAATGAATCTTATTGACTTGTAGGAACTGATGAAGTTTAGACTTAGCATTCTCCATAGTCCAATTGCCATGGAGACTTGCATTTACATCCAGGTCTTCAGCCTCTTCCACATTCTTTTGTTGCTGAAGACGATCCATATAGGTGAAGTTCCTGTTTTCACCGTAGTTCTGTCCTCCATATGCTTGGTACGCTTGGCCCATACTTTGAGGGTCCATTCCTTCCTGTAAAATTTTATTAGCTATAGTTTCCCCAACATAGATGCTTAGCAATTGCGCCGCCTGTTGCACATTGTTGATTTTATATAATAAGTCAGTGTCTTTATCAGAGATTGTGTATAAACTTCGAATAATACACATAGAGAGTGGATAAAACCTCCTTCTGAAATCTCAGAATTATTGAAGGTGAAATGAAAACAGAACAGTTGTTATATTATTACATACAATTACAAAAATTTTCTTTAAAGTACACTCTAAAATTTATAACACTGAGCAAGTTTTTTCATATTTACAAAATCTTGAAAAAAAAACTTGAAATATCTACATTATACATTTTTTTTATTTTAAAGCTGTTTACGAGGCCGCTACCCTAGTGCCCTAGTACTCTTCAGCGCCCACTGGGGGGCAGTAGGGACAACTCTGGGAAACTATGTTTTTGGTGAATATACTGTGCCAATTCTGATATCTGGAAACTAAGAACTTCATTATGACTTTTTTTATCTTTTTACTTACCTGGAAAACAGGTTTTGCACTAGAATGCATCGGTCCCTGGGTACCAGATCCATCATCCTCAGCTTTAACCCTGACATCCTCTGGGATCTCTGAGGAGTTGACCTGTCCAGTTCTAGTCAGATAGCTGACAAAATCTCGTGCGGCATTCATCTGAGCCTCTTTCTTGGTAGTCGAATTGCCTGCTCCCACATAGGAAATGCTGTCCACTCGAACTTCACATAGAAAACGTTGACGATGTCTTGGACCTAGATAAAATTCGGGTAGAATAAAACATTGTTGGAATCACGGCATAAACACGGTTGTTACTAGATAATAATAGTGTCACATGGACCTTGATAGAAACTTTTGGTACTTAAATCTAGGTAGTTTTTTAATCTTATTTTTATTAAGGCCTGTAACACTGGGGTGTCTATGTGATGTCAATCCCTGTGGATTATTCTACTCTATTGTGTGGCTCGTAGTCAGAGGCAAGACCTCACATATGAGTACAGAGTTTTAGCCCTCTTCGCCAACAGGTCACTCGACACAACATTTAACTCCCCAACCTGCCAAATATCCCCTAATTGAAATTTGCTTCTTATAGCCACATAATGGCCACATTCCATCAAATGTAGCATACACACATCAAAAAAAGTTTGCGATCAGTTTGAAAACTTAACATATTTTTAATATGTGGAAATATTATTAAGAAATATGTAATAAATAGTTTTTTTGTTAAAAGTACAACATTAAATAAATAATTAAAATTAAAAATAAATAATAGTATCACTAAAGAGGTTTTTGAAATATTTTAAGAAATTAAAAAAATATTTCAAGTTTTAAAAGTGATCGCAAACTTTTTTTGATGTGTGTATCTTCGAGTTTGTTATAAAATTTGCGTAGTGGTGATTCTGCTCTATTTATTGGATGATAGAACTTATTTAAGGGAAGGTGGCCAGCACGAAGTCTAAAAGCAAAGCCCATGTGCACTTCTAGAAAGTATGCTGTCCACAAGACAGGGATTCCACTGTGGACGCACTTGAACAGTTTTGTCATAATTCCTTTCACTGCAGAAATCTCACCATAGATCTTACTCCACAGATCCATATTTAGTAGTGTTGCAACGAACAGTATTTCACCTTCAAGTCGGATTCCGAATATCCGGCCCGGAGCGAAGCCGAATAGGCGAATATTCGGCCAAACTATTCGGCCTGATTTATGATCTTACGAAAATTGACGCGCAAACCGCATTATAGCAAAGATAGCTTAAAAGATACATACATATATATAAGTTAAATTAAATTAAACTAGTAATGATGCATGATTTTGTAAAAAGAAACAAAAAAGGAAATTTTATTTCCAAATTTATAATCCAAATTTATGACATCTTAATGAAGAAAGTAATTGTTTATTTCACTTCAGTTTGATTTAATTTTATGTTCATTTGCAAACAATTTGATTTTGTTAGCGTTTATTTAATCATGAGTTTATGACAAAATTACATAATAAGTAGGTAGTGTTCATTTGATTTGTTAACTTTTTTTATCTCATAGAAGTTACTATTTGCGATAATTTACTGTATTTTCTTATTTCTTCCTCTTGTTTTTAGGTATTCGGCCGAATAGTGATTTAATATTCGGTATTTGGCCGAATAGCAAAAAATAGGCCGAATACCGAATAGTAACCGAATATTCATTGCAACTCTAATATTTAGGTCTCTTACAAATGGGATGATTTCTACAGCATATACATAATAACTTGTAATATAAATTTCAATCGTGAAAATGTTGTCTATTAAAATATTTTGTTTGAACTAAGTACTAATTTTAAATGCAGACTGGAGAACTCTAAATGAATAATAATTATGCTTTTCTTTATAAGAAATGCCTTTAGTTGACAGAGTAGGATTTGTTTTCTTTGTCATATTTTTACGTTATTAAGTATTTTCTTGTAAATTAGTATTTATTTGCAGTATGGACCTTTTTAAAGTTTGTCTATAACACTTTCGTTGAATTCATAGTGGGCATCTGTTTTAAACATTTTGATTTTGAAAACAGAAGCTCTCCCGAAATTGTACTTAACCGTCCAGAGTGGTCGCACCCTTGCGCCGAACATAAGCAGTCGCGCGCGGTCTGTTGGCGCGTTCAGTTTGAGAAGACAAATGAATATTATCAATGATGTTGTATAGCACATAATAAAAATAAGTCTTTTGTCTATATAAATGAAAATTCATTCATTTTATTTAAGAGCCATGCTCTTGTCGGTGTAGCCTCCTCCACTCCTCACGGTCCATAGCCAACTCCTTGACCTCCCTGTAACTGCTCATAAATGAAAATAAAAAACATGATTTACTTATTATTTTTTTAATTTGTACTTATTAATCAAACAGTCCACAAAAATTCAAAATTTTAGGCATATGACACAAAACAACATTAGAAATCAAGAAAATAACAAAACAAGATGAAATTTTCTATCTTAATTGTTAATAGACATCATAATTATTACTGAGACCACTCAAAATTATTATCAATAATAATTGCACAATTTTGTAGGAACTTTAAAAGCACAATTATTTTTAAATGTCTTTCTTCATGATGTTCTACGTAATATCTTAACTCTAATATAATAAAAAAGGAAAACAAAATAAAAACTTCTAAACATTTTAAAGAGTAGGTACAGGGTCAAGAGCACGTCCAACTTGACTTAAATCCAGTTCTATGCCGCTTATGATAAGTACGGTCCAAGTACAAAGTGTCAAGCTTGACGTGCTCTTACTGTACTACGATAACCTACTCCTTATCAGTATCAATGGTTTAACATCATCAAAATCTTCATATTCATCTTCTGTTTCCGCCTCCTCTGCAAACCATTCTGACGCATTGTAACTCATTGTCTACAACAAATAGTGTAATTATAAATAATTGAATATAATATTACATAAAATAATGTAATTTTGTAATATACATAGATAGATAGATATACACTTTATTGCTCACACACAAGAAGAAAAACAGTACATAGAGAGCAATTAAGGTGGGCAAAGGCGGACTTATCGCTTAGAGCCATCGCTTCCAGACAACCTTTGAGATATAGGTAAGCTAATCAGAGCACCAATAGCAAAATTTGAATTGTATAGGTAGACAACAATTAACATTAATTTTATTAAATAGTATAGTATGTATAATAACATGAAATACTCACCCAGGCTTCAATTTCATTCCATGAATTTTTTTGGAACACGACCGGTCGCGCGCGGAATCTGAGATCGAAAACATAAATAAAGGCACATGTGCGCTTGCGACGAATGTCACAGGGCTCTAAGGAGAAGTACCTCATCTCGTCGAGGCTATCACGGTCACTCAACCATCTATGGTTTATAGTTTATGTAAAATGACTAAAATAAGGTCACTGCGGTGCCTGAGACCGCGCGCGACCACTGGAAGGTCGTATCGTAAACGGGACTGCATAAAAAGGCATAACACCAGCAATATCTACAAACTAGATTGATGTCATGGAATGAAATGATTGATGTCATAATAAACGATATTACGAGGTTATAAATTAAATAAAATGGCGACATTAAACCTTATAAACATCACGAATCACTGCATTAAAATGCGAGGTACTCGAAATTGTAAATAAAAATCTAATCTAAAAAATATTTTGAGGTTATGTATATGGATGAAAATCGAGCAATTGCGCTTTCCACGTGTGTTTTCAATTTAGTAAAAACAACGATTCAGAAAAATGTATTGTTTATTAACAGGATTAGAATATAACTCCTTCAATACAAAATATACATACCCGTAGCCCTAATGTCGAAAGTCGGTGTTAGCCCTTGCTTAGCACACCAAGAGTGCAAAAAAGATTTTACGTCCATAGTGGACATTTTGCTAGTTATTAATAATACTTGTTTTGTTAAAAATCAGAAAAATAAGTAATTCCGAAAATTAAATAACGTCGGCTTCCTGTCGCCGCAGCAGCACACAATGACAATCAACATGACTCAAGTTGTGATATTTTTTTACGAGTTTTGGCTTGGATATAAGTGAGTCGGAGAAAAATTCTCATTTCTGATCAGTCTTAATTTTTAAGAAAAATGAATATTCTTTATTCGTCCCGTATTCTCCCATTTTCTTTCGTATAATTTTATTTCTTTCTCCATCCTCCATGATAATTTTCCACGCTGACACCGGTCAAAAGTTTGTTATTGAACGAAAACGACGCCTAACTTTGTTTTACTAAACGATTTTATTTATTTCCCGCTAAATAAAACTTCCTACAACGTTTCTAAAAGAAAGAAAATAACATGAGCTCTCAAATTATATTTTTGTAATGTCATTAAAATATATATATAACCGTCATTGTGAATAAAAACCGCCGAAGTATTTTAATAACCGGCAATCTGTCTCACTACCGCTACACATGTCTCTCAACCCTGACATTGGCAAAATCGTCGCGCAAAACGACGGAGCCATAGACATAAAAGTTGAAGTTGAAGTTGGATATAAGTCTTTTGAGCCATTCAATTTATGTAGTCTTACGCCGCGTTAACATTATCGTGCTGGCTATACACGAATGTGTCGTCGAAACAATCGACGAAACATTCGTGTCGAGTGGTTGAAACGCGTTCACACATTCGTGCGATAAGCGATGCGATCCACGACACGCATGTGTAAACGGTCACTTCGCTATTCGCGTCGCGCCTCGCATCGCCACTCCTGCGATCGCGTCGTGAGCGTTATTTCGAGCACGAGTCAAAGGACAAGTTTTTTTTAAAGGCGTTTTTTTTACAGAAAAGTATAAAATACAATCAATGGTAAACATAAACTCTTGGTATTTCATGGCATGTATCCATATATTTATATCAATATTAACGAAAATGGTATGGATACATGCCATGCATTTTCATTAAAATGTATACAAAAAACGGTTATTGTAAATTCTCGGACAACACTCAAACGGGTCGTGATAATTACCCAATTATCACGGACTTGTATATTAAACTGGACAATAAGTAAGTTAATAAAACGAGCCGAGTGAGAGGCTTCAAAGTAGTAATGCGTCTCTTTCATTCATGTTTCAGCCGGTCATATTGTTTTTAACTTTTTAATTTTTACAGAAAATATGGCCGCTTATGGATGACTAAAACTACTACTACTACTACTACTAGTAATATTATTTCATAATACAAATTAGTATACTTATTTGGTATGCTACTTCATAATAGAAGATATCATTGTTTATATATTTTTTTGTATTATAACAGTAAAAGCATATTACCTTTAAGCTAATTTTATTCAACCAAATTTTAAAAATTAATAGACTAGACACTACATAAGATGATTTTATTAAGCATTGGCAACTTGTTAGACAAGGACAGACCACTACTTCGAACTATCTCACGTGACTCAGTTTTTACTTTTACTTAAAATAAACCTTAACATAACCCAATAAGGTGTAGGTTTGTAATATTGGTATATCGAAGTGCGCGATCCAGTTTATGAAATATATAAATCTGTGGTAATTATATTTGGTGTCAATTTCAATAGTAGATTCTGACTAAAATCTAATAAATTCCGTAGTTTTAAAAGTGGTTGCATAATAATGATAAAATCACAAATGTAATTTAAAAAAAAGCAAATGCTTTGTAATAATTTTTACAAAAATTATATGGATAAATATATAAAATACCACGTGTTTTTTTTTTGTTAGTTTAAATAACTTTTAATAAATGAAAACCTACATAATAACCTTCATGAGTCACTACATGTTACTTAATAAAACCTTAATCATGTTAGACAATAAATAATCACATAGAACTAAATTTATATTGCGTTCTGCTGTTCTTCAGCTCGTTTCTTAGATTCCATTAGCAAATATAGAGGTGTCCTCCCACTCCTCATTTTATCCCTCTTATGTACTTTTAACTGATGTTTCATCATTTGCTTACGGTACCCAAAAGCTTTACCACATACATCACAAATGTGGTCCTTTATACCACTATGATCAACTTTGTAATGTGAATCCAAATCTTTCTGAGTGTAAAACCCTCTTTGACATTGACCACATTTGAAATCATGTGTGTTTCTATGCGTTAATAAATGTTTATTCAGATTGCTCTTGTTAACAAAAAATCTAGATGGACATTCAGGACACTGGTATGGTTTTTCTCCAGTGTGAGATCTCATGTGCATTTTCAAAGACTCACTGTATCGTCCTTTGTATGGACATAAGGTACATTCATAAGGTAACTTGTCTAGGAAGTGTGTTGCACGGTGACGTGTAAACTGCCCCTGGATTATAAATTTCTTTCCACAAATATCGCACATGAATGCAGCTTCCATTTTATGATACAGTAAATGTTTTTTTAAGTACGCATTATTATACATGTTTCCACAAACAGGACATGGAATTTTCATGTTTTCGTGTTCAATAGACATTCTGTGTTCAGTATACTCATCCAGTGTTTTAAAATCTAAATTGCATTTTCTACAATGATAGCATGTATCAACACTCTGAGCTGGTTTTTTGTATTTATTGTATTCGTCTTCCTTTTCATGGTATTGATATGGCATTTCTCCTTCATCAGTGTCATTTAGTGCCTCGTCATCATGAAATGAAATGTCATCAGATCGTCGTAAGAATTGTTCAGATTCTTGAGCTGTCTTTCGAAGCATAATAGCTCCTTGCAACAATGAGAGGCATGATTGGCACAAATATTTAGGATATTCATCATCATTTCTAACATCTATAGCCGTTATACTAATCAGATCATCTGATATGTCTCCAGTAAAATCGTTTCCGTAAATAGGAATATTGCCATCCTTCAAGCATACTCTGCAAATTAGCTGCTCTTCTTCGTCGATTTGTTCTATTTTCAAAGTTATTTCACTGGATGTATTGCCACGAGAAGGACCCTGGTCACTATCATTATCCTTAGATCTTGACTTTAAAGATTTCTTTCGAGTCATGCGTTTACAATGCAACATTTTTACAAGCATCAGGGGACCTACCATCTTAACAATTTCGTGTTACTGGTCACACGAGTACTATTTACTGGTTTCTACATATATTGCACGAAATTATCACTACTCAAGTAGTCTACAAAGCTCTGTTATTATATGTCTCAAAACAAAACGGAGAAAATTACTATGAAAGCGAAGAGACTATAATTTAACTATTTTATACACAAAATTAAGATGCTGTTTACATGATTATTCATGTGAATTGTCAATGTCAAGTCAAACATTGTAGTCGTACAACCACACAATTAAAGAACGAAACTCAACGAGCATCCGCAGATAAGTAAATTTTAAACAGTTTTATACGCAAACTTAAATCAGTATGTAGGTATACACGGCTCTTTTGCGAATTGGTTTCGTATCTGGGAGTTGAGATCACAGATACGTACTACCTGTAAATGGAATCAAAAGAATATTTGCAGATTCCGGAGTACCCCAAGGATCTCATCTGGGGCCTATCATTTTCTATTTTCATAAGTTACATACTCGATCACATCTACTGTTGCGTAATTATCCGAAAAATTTCGATAGTGGACATTTTTCCAATTCCAATTCCAATTTGTTTATAGTGGCTCCATCGATTTTCACGATGATTCTGCCAATGTCAGGGTTGAAAAAGACACTTTTATGTTGGTGACTATGTGTGGTAGGATAAAAGGGACAACACAAAGATACAAATTACACATTCAAATCACATGCATATATACAAAAAATAGGCTTAGGCTCAACTCACACTGGCGCAGAGTCGAAGCGTCGCGACCCGTCATGTTTTCGCCTATTGTATATTCATCTCTATTTTCCCATTATTAAGGTACAAATTTGTGTTATGCAAATATGGAAACGGGCGTCGACGCTTGGAGGAGATCCGGGCGCACTAAAGCGAGAGACATCGCGCGACGAGACTCGCGCGTCATAAATAGCAATATTAGTACGTTAGCCACGACTTTTGACTACACTGATTATCAATTATTTATACACCGAATATATACTAACACATGAGATAAGTTTCTTTTGCGCCGGGTCTGGGACGTGACCAGTCTCCTTTGAACAAGGTATTTACAAAATAATGGAATATGAATTTGGGTCAGAAGAGAGGGTATTTTTAATGGGACGAGGTATATTTTTAGGGATCAAGTTGTACAGGTGGATGTGTATATTTGTACAGTGGAAAAATATATGTTCCAAAGTGCCTTCCTCTATTCACAAATAGAATTGTCTCTTATCCTAATCTTGGCCAGGAAGCTCAGCGCTTAGCTCAAGTAGATATTTTTCTACTTTATTTTGTTTATACTTTATTTTTATTATATTTGTAATTTGATGAGAAGGTCGAACGTGCTCATAATAGGGTTCCGTAGTTGTTACATGATATTCCTTTTCAAATTCTGTTTCAACATTTATGTTGTCTGTGGTTTCAACTTTAAAATACAAATTATAAGAACTATTGTAAAATCCTTTTATTTCTTTAGTTATTATTTTTCCATAACAGTGACCACTAAGTGTCAGTTTCCGGTGTCACTGAATCAAACAGCAACATTTCATTTCAGTAGTTTTTTACACACGAAAAAAAAAATGGCGGGATTTTGTGGTCACACTTCATAAGATTTAGTTTTTATTAGTTTATGTCTATAAGGGTCGTATTCCAGAACTCTACTCAATGCTCAAGTCAGGACTTGAGTATGATTTAATTTAAAGCATTAGAAATCATACTCAAGTCCTTGCCATTAGGATCGTATTTCCAGTGCTTGAAATCGTATTCAAGTCTGCTCAAGTCCTGACTTGAGCATTGAGTAGAGTTCTGGAATACGACGCTTAGATTATTGGTTTGAGCTGTACCTATACATATTGAGTTTCTTAAATCTTTGTTATCTTTGATGGCATTTTAGGCAATGCTCAATGTTTATAATAAATTCCTAAATAATTTCTGTACAACGAGAAGTTTTAAACGTAACCGGAAACGTCATCATCTTAATTTTGTTGGTGTTCGCGCGCGACGCGCCATATTAAAATTGCCCGTTCTCCTGACGACGTGTAAGGTACTGTAATTTAAAAAATCTTTGGCTAAGTGTTCCCAAAAAGAAGTAATATTATCTTGATTTGTACTCAGCTAGGTAAGTTTAACATGTTTATATATATCTTGGTAATAGATATTCTCTCAGTGATAGTTGCACAGAGAGAAGGTGCGTCAAGCTTGACACTTAAAATTTAAATTCAAAACCTAAACCTTTATGCAGTTTCTGATAAGAACTACTCGAAGTCCTAAGTGTCAATATTGATGTTCTGTGAACTTTACATAATACACCAATAATAACCACAAAGCATCGGTATATAGGGACACAGTATATAATCAAAACTATCCATGCTGTACTCATGAGTAGTATCACATAAAAAGTATCGTACTCATAAAAGTATCGATATCTTGAGGTATCGATATTTTTGTTCTGCAGATTTTCCCTACTTAAAGGCAGAATAAAACACGAATTTGATTATATTTTTTTATTTATGTGTTTTAATTGAAACAAATAATAAAAGAATTTGATTAATTCAATCAATTCAATCAATCGTCATTTCAAATAATTTGTGTTACTTAAATTATAATTTCCCACTCCTCTGTACCTACTTTCACTTAATAACTTAGCTTAAAAACAAAAGTCTATTTGGTGACGGTCTGTTTCTCGTTTTTGATACTGTATTGCCTGCTTTTGAGAACAAATATTATGAAGAAGGGACAAACTTCTATTAAAGAGGCAAGTGGTGGCATACAATATACAGCCAATTCATTTGTGATAAAGGTTGCCATTTAAAAATAATCACTAGGTGGCTTGCGTTATGATATGAGGCAGGAATTATTCAACACAATACTTGTCAAAAAGTACTAATACCTGAAAAGTATGGAATGAAAAGTATTGGAGGGAAAAGTACTTGATACAAAAAAGTATCAACACTTTTTCCATGTCCCTATCAGTATATACTTTACCAGGCTATTTTATTACATTAATGTATATATACCAATGGCCTTATTGTGAAAGATGGTATGGTATAACCGACTGTTTTCCCTATATCGACATCGTCGCAGCACATATTAAATTACCATGTCTCTGATGTGCAAAAAGGATGGAAGTTGCTAACTCAAAATTTGTAAAATACGATGTTAAAAATTTCCAAAAATTTCTGATAAATAGTATATCTAAAATATATTTTTGATATTAAGTAATTTATTTATGTTAAATATTATACATACATAGTTAACACAGAAACTGTTTTGATTGAATTAGGCCATTACTAAAACAAAATCTCTTAAAAATTTACCTACATTAAATTATATCTATACAAAATTATACAAGATATTATTATGGCATATAAAGGTCGTATCTAACTTAAATGTACCTTTTAATAATACTTGACTTATAAGTAATAGAAATAAAGGGCACAATAGTACCTTTTTTGTAATAATTATAAACTAATTATTGTAATTTTACTACATAATAAGAGCACAGGTCCATGCATTACTAGTAAAATCTTTAGATATTAGTGTGTGTCTCTTAGTAGATCAAATATGTCTTTTTATTATAGAAAATTTGATTATTGATCTCAGTTGCAGCTTTTGAACTTGCTGTATATTCGACAATTAATAAGATAGATTGCTATAAAAAATTAAGTACATTCGCCATTTTTTCGTGACCTCAAATATATGTATATTCGTCGGCTTAGTGCAATAAGCCGACGATTTATAACTAAATTTTGATAAATATGTTAGTTGTGCTTTTTTTCTTCCAAGGGTAAAATTTTTTGGGTTATTCCCATCTGATCCCTTAAACTGATCCACCGATAATTTTAAATAGCAATTGATCGCCAGTATATTCTGCAACTCCCAATTGATCCCCTCATTGTATTTGTAAGGTAAGTAAGGTAAGTCAAGAGAAATAGAAGTTTTTAAATGAAATATTAATTTATTGAGCAATTGTGATCAAATGTTATAATACAGACAGTTAAATTTTTTGGTGGCAGGTCTTTAATACATAGTGTCCGGAACTGGCCACTTACATAAACAATATTTAAAAAGTAATTACAACATTTGAAAATGTAACTCTTTGACTGTAGAATACAGTTTGTTTCATCTGACTGACACTTGTTTTTACATTGTGGCGTCATTTTAGAAATTGATTGTCTACATCACCATGGATTTAACTCGTGAAAATTTTCGTAGCATGATTTTCTACGATTTTAAGTATAATTTAACAGCTCAGCGGAGCTTCGCTGTGCTTCAAACTGCTTTTGACGATGAAGCACCATGCAAGACGACTATTTATCTCAGTGACAAATTTCGTGATGTTCGCCCGTCCACTGCTGTGAACAACAAAACATCGATGCTGTGCGCCCTATGATCAAAACAGACAGGCATGTGACATACCATGAGGTTCGGGCATCTTTAGGCATAGGGGAAGAGGCGCAGATTCGTACACTTTTTTTTTAACTTTAATTTTGGGCTACTAAATGAAATTATAATGAATATTTTTTCTACCTGATTGATGACATAACTAATAAACATTACCAATTTATCTTTTCTTAAAAAATAGCATTGAATAATTGAAAAATTTTGATTTTATCAAAAAATGGGAATTGTCCAATTCTGCCCTACCTGTGGGGTACTTTGATACATCGCTTGGGGCACTTAGAATGTGTGAATCTACGTAGTGTGCCATTCCTGGTTGCCACGTATTATCAGCACTAGGTGATCAACTGTTCATAAAGTATGACGCTATATGTGCATCCGCACTTGCTAGATGAAGATTTCTTTCTAGGGCACCATTTGAAAAGTGTTCTTTGTAATGTAGTCTTGGAAGTAGAAATACAGGAGGAAGAGTTGACAATAGGGCAAAAAAAGACGCTATAACTTGGACCTTTTCAAGGCGAGAGTGAATAGGCATTATTTAGGTGTTCATGCTACATCATCGACCTCATCGTCACTTTCCATCAGGTGAGATGGAGGTCAAATGCGCGCTTATTTTTTATAAAAAAAAATGTGACTAATTCACTTCTTTGCAATAACTCTTGTTCAAACAGTTTTATATTATTCGTACAAAATAACTAATATGAGCACTTTGATACGTACCAAA